TTGCTCATATATAACGATGGAGGAGACACGATTACCGATACGATTTCATAAGGGACTCGTGAAAGGCGAACATGGATGGATTAGGCGTTCAGTAGTAGAAGATTGGAACACTGATGTCTGAAGCAAAGCAAATCAACTTCAATACTTGCCGTTCAGTAGCAAACCCTTGAAGAACAAGCGAGAAACAACATGAGCATAGGAACTTCGGAAAGGTGAACATACAAGCAATTTATTTGAAATCACCGTACGTGATTATGCGTCAGAGCGACGGCATTCTGCTTCTCTAATGATCCAATACAATCTCTCAGTTCTCCATACACTCTTGATAAGTTATAACTCATTTAAAACCTTTCATAAACTATGTTTTCGTCGGATATGGTATGATGACGTTCAAAATCTCACACAGTACAGACTTCACGAGCCACCTGATAGCAGCCTGTTGCAGAAGAGCTTGAATTCGTAGGAGAAAAAGAAAAAGTGTACGACAGCTGGGATTCCCAAGCCGTCTCCCAGTTCTTACCAGGTTTGACGTTGCTTGACTTGCGGACGGATAGGCGTATAGCAAACCTTTGAGATCGTTGTTGTTTTCTTGTTCTATAGAACATCATTAAGTACACCGTTATCGATGTCAATTTTAACTTGCCGAAATTAATGGTACACACTGGGTTTGTTTTAAAAAGATAAAAGTGAAACTTTATTGTTTCTGTTATAACATGGATGAAAACTTAATTTCTGGTAAACTTAAACTTCTTTTTCCGCCAATCGGTTATACGGGGCTCCTGTATCGATCAGGAACCAAACATACACAGGTAAAGTATTGGGCCTTCCTGAAAATATTTTCTTAAACAAAAACTTAAAGTGTTATTTACCAGGATAGCTGCACAACAGCGGTGCCATCAGCCGCAAATTGCGGCCATGAATGCGCCCATTAACTGGGAACGCTGGGATCTTATAACTACCCTCTGATAAGTTCTCGCACTTATTGTCATATCCAATCTAAAAACATTATAGATCATGTTTTCGAAACTGCACACTACCTCAATGAGTTCGTCCTCATCAATATCGGATACCAGCACATCAAACTCCTTGTACGAGATAAATCCTTTCGAATCACAAAAGGCCTGGAAATGATGAATAAATTTGAAGGTTCCACACGTTTTGAAAAATGTCAAACGGCGGAAATATAAGAGCTAGTATCAATTTAAGACAAAAATGGAAAATAAGATAAAAGAAAAGAAGGATATTTTCAAATGGGAGAGTGCATGCTTTTGCAAGATAAAGTCTACGAACTCAAATCGTTGATATAGTTACAGTTTCAGAGATGGAACAACCTAAGATCATCGTCAAAATATGCTAGTCGAAGTTGAATTATCAATAAAACAGAATATATAACTTTTCCATTCAGCTCTGAGTGTCAGATGAAAGAGCAATCTGAAATGAGAAAAGAAGTTCATTTTTCATGTAATCGTACCTGTATCTTTAAAACAAACATTTGTAGAATATGTGGTGAATTAGCTATACTAGTTTACCGAAAGTTGCCAAGATATGCCAAGGTTTTGTTCTGAGATCTCATGGCATTTCGTGTCTGTCTCAAGCAGGTGGTACTCAGTTATTCTAGCAGTCTGCAGAACTATCAAACTAACCAATGGTCCAATAAAATAGTCTTTACTTGTTTCAAATGCTAGATACTGAACAAAAGTGACGTACCTGTAATGGAGTTAATTCTCGTCGTTTTGAGTAGCCTGTCCATTTTTGGATTTGTCCTAATATTTACTTCTTTATATCTTATTATTTGCGTCCCTACTAAATTGAGTACTCTTTCCCGATTCGCCATACATGGGCATAACCTGGTGTTAGTTACTGAAGTGTGAACATGCTTACAAATGAAGTTTAAGAGCAGGATTTGTTCAAATCTACCTGGCGCTAGTAGTCACTCCAACCATCACTCTTCCCTGTATTGCTGGATATGTCAACGGCTTGTTCAGCGACTTGAGAATTATGTCTCCTGTTAATCAGTTTTGGACTCTAATTACCAATATTTATAGTAATCCAGAGAGCGTAGGATTCACAATCCAAGTATTTCCTAGTTTTAGGATGGTTCGCTGTTCTTATCTCGCTCACTCGAGTGTTTGCAATTTCAGTCAGAGCAAGTGAAAAAACGAAGATGATAGTGAAGGCACATGTTGCACATCTCTTCATCAACGTCATCGTTTTCATAGTCACAGGTTTAAATCTGACAGATGATGGCATCGAAGGCGCGCTAGTCTGTGAAAAGGTACGTACTCACCTTATACCTAAAATAACTGTTAAACAGCTAATCCATGGTGAAGTTCCTGAAGAACTCTTCGATACTGATAGAGGACTGAAATTCATCCTTTCAAAACAACCTAGTTTGTTGATCATGATATACAACATTTCTTTCATAGCCATTACTTCCACCTCATCCATTGTAGCATGTGGAGCTTTTCTCATTCGAAGTTTAAGAGAGCAAAAACATTCAGCTCGTTCCTCCCCGTTTCGAGTCAATCAACGACGACTCACCACTGGAGTTTTATACTTGGTTAACATAATCTCTTAATATAGAATAATCGCTCTTCAGTCTTTTTTCATGATACTTGGATTAGCCATACCAATTTCCATCGTTAGCTGTTGTGTCTATTTCAGCATTTGTACAACTCGTAAGAAGCCTAAATGCAGAAAAGACATTACTAATTCATCATTCCAGCTACTTCTCACATCTGCTGCTTCGCTGGATCTATTTATCCTGTCTTCAGTTCATATTCCTTATTAATGTCATCTGCCGATTACAGGAACGAACTCAATCGGATATTGAAGAAGTTCAAGTTCAAGCATTCTCACCTTATAGCACAATCCATCAGAGACGTACTCGGTATTTGAATTAGATTTAAATGTATGATTTCATATATTCTGCGATTTCCGGTCGATCAAAATCTCCTGCCAACCATTCTCCAACTCCATCCATGAGAGTGAAATATTAGAAGTTCACCTCTTTGACTGGGGAATCATCCCCGTAATAGTTGTCTATCAACTTGCCAGAGATACAGCCAGAAATGAATGATTGAATTGGATCTATAGAACTACTAATGAGAGAGCGACTTTTGAAAATATCTGACCAAGTGTGTGCGAATACATACATATCGGAATAGATCAATGGTTCATAATGTGATAGCGTATGTAACGTGCTCAACCAGAAGAAATTGAACGGCTGCAAAACGTATTCATAAATTATACATAACTGAAATCAATTTCTTACAGCTTCGATCTAGCAAACGTAAATCAATGATTCCGTATCGTCTAGATTCAATCATCAACACTTCACAGTTCCTTCCTTATTTAACATAGACATGATTTGTTGTTCAGGGCACCAGAATTTGATTGAACCTAAAGTTTGAATTTTACTTACCTGGACTCCGGCTGTTTGAACTCAAGACCGGGAAAACAATTAAAGATAAAAAATAAATATTTATATCACGAAGTCCATATCGCATCAAAAGTGTCTCTAGTATGAGTTGAATGAATCTTCAAATAAGACGGGAAAGGATGCTGACAGCATCAAAACAATCATTTATCGTTTCGCTTGATAAAAATTTCAGACAACTAAACTCACAACTCTGAGATCTCAACCTACCTTTGTCATTTGTGAAGTAGCGCTGCTTACAAATTGTGTAACTCAAAATGACTGAGGCTTTTCTGGCATTACGCATCCGATCGCAACCACTCACTGGCATTCATGTAATCTCGAAAAAAAATGTTCTGGTATTCATTCTCCATCTCCTTCATCAGTGAGCGGTCGTGCTCGTATGTAGCTGAAGAAGCAATAAGCGGCTCTTATGCATTATTTTCCCCCCCCGGCTCCTCCCCTTTTGCCGTTGCCGCACGGAATTTATTTTTGTAGAATTTAGATTTTTTAAAAGGCTTAGGCTACCTTTAAAAGCTTAGACTACCTCCTGAAAAATCAAAAAACTTAAAAATGGATTTCCTTTTTATAGAATAGAGATCTTTTAAAAGGCTTAGGCTACCTTTAAAGGCTTAGGCTACCTCCTAAAAACTTGAAAAACTTAAAAATGGAATTCCTTTTAGTAGAATAGAGATCTTTTAAAAGGCTTAGGCTACCTCTGAAGACTTAGGCTACCTCTAAAGGCTTATGCTACCTCTAAAGGCTTAGGTTACCTCTAAATGCTTAGTCTATCTCTAAAAAACTTAATTTTCCTTGATTTTCTTTACCAAAAGCGTGCGCAAAACGGCAGAAAGGGGCGTGGCTAGGACGGGGGGGGAAATAACGCATAAGAACCCAATAAGCTTTTGTACAAAATAGCCATGTTTATAAAACTGAAAATAATGCTTTTCAGTATCGAGGTTATTAAGAATCGACAGCTTCATTGGTGTAAGTCTGAAACAATATAGTCGATGGAGTAAGATTGCTTACCTTTCCGTTTTTCTCAGATATAATGTTCTAGGTCGAGCAGTACCAAAGATGCTATACATGTGAGCTTATGACGACCTGCCAGTTTTAATCCTGGACGATAACAGTGACTGATATATCTGAAATTGTTAAAATTCTAATTTCGTTTCCAGAATTTGAAAATACTCTAGGAGAACACGTAGACATAGACATAGATTAATCGGATCTTTATTGCAAATCAGAACTTGTCAGCGCAATCAACGATGAATCTCGTAGACTGAATTGATCAACAACAACCAGTTCATAAGAATCTGACATAACACAGAGTAGGCTCAATCAGTCAGAAAACGATAATCAAAATGATTTAAAATAAAGAAGACTTGAATGAGGTCTCCTGCCAAACTCTTGCACGCGCAAAGCTCTTCGACCTTGCTTACGAGCATAGAAATATTTTCAATTATAATTACCAATATAAATATAACATAATATAATCCTTAAGGGCATAAAGAAAACGTAAGGCAACAACAAAACTCATATCATAACTTAAAATCCTGAATTTAAGTTCGTACGTGTGAACTCTACTTGAAGTATTTTCAACGTGACGTTATGAACTCAAAAAATGCGTACAAAAACTTCTCGGAGTTATTGAAGATGATGATAGGAACCAAACTGAAAAATGTTTGCCGCCAGCAGGGGTCGAACCTGCGACCTTGGGCTTATTAGACCCACGCTCTAACCAACTGAGCTATGGCGGCTTGTAGAAATAGGAAAAACAGTCAGTTAAGAACTACATGACTCTTATCATCAAGGAATGACCTTGTTTATGAAAGTATCTACAGTTATAACCAAACAAATTCAATAGGTATGAGGACAAATGTTTTTATGAAAGATCATTATGCATTCCAGAAAACAAAAATTATAAAACATTCGGTTTCAAGATCATTGATTAAAGGTCTCTTGTACACATCAATAATGTTAAACGAAATTAAAGCTTCTCTCTTATGGCTCGGAACCACGTCTACCGTTTGAGGTTTTCGTTAGATTCCTAATAATTTTAAATGGATTGAAAGAAGAGATTTGAGATTTCCTTCTTGGGAAAGCAGATCGGAAGCTGCTACCTGAAAGAGAACAATGAGGAGATCGGTTCAAAGCCGGTAGCTCACCTCCTACTGATGGATTACCGGGAACTTCCAAAGCATCCACTTTCAGTGTTAGTTGACTCTGACTACGTTTCCGCCGGAAACTATTGAAAAACACAGATCAAAAAGAAGTGAAACTGGAACTCTTACGCTAGTGGATCCACGTGTGGATTACCATCTATGGAGATTTGTTGAGTGAAGTTAGATGTTGTAGGATCATCACAATAGTACTTAAATTGATAGTGATAAGATAGCTTGAGTAACTTTGTTAACGAACTGTTGGCATTTCACGTTCTCTAATTGATGGAGCGATGGGTGCCTCACGATTTGGTAAAATCCGATAGTGCTCATCTGATTTAACTAATGCAAGATACCCATATCCTTCAGCTGACTGAAAAAAGGATAATTATGACTACGGTCGCCACATTGATGGGTCACCTGCTCCAATTGAATAGCTAGTTGTGTTTCCAAATCGCGGAAGGTCGGACGATCAGCAGGATTCTCTTCCCAACATTTGATCATGAGTTCTCCCCTGAATCGAATACTTCATACAAACAAGTGAAACTGATAGATACATTCGATCTGAAGCCAACAAAGGCTTTGAAGGACGGTTTCCATCTTTTACATGATTTGTAACATTTCCAAGATCCACATCAGCAAAAGGAGGTTTCCCCATGGAATACATTTCGTACAGTAACATACCGAAAGACCAACTTGAAACACAACGTTTCAGAATCGAATGAATGCTCATTAGGCACTTACACATCTGACCGGAGAGAAAATTCGCCTCTAACTAAAGCTTCCACAGCTGTCCACTTAATAGGAACTTTCACATCATTGGAAGCAATCACATGATCTGTTTCCAAAATGAGAGCCAAACCAAAGTCACTAATCTATAATTACCAGAAGGTGATGGTTTCACCTCATAACTATACCTTGGCTGTTAAGATACTACCGACACTATGAATCAGAATGTTGCGAGCTGCTAAATCACGATGAACTACTTTCTTCCTACCCAAAAAATCCTGAAATTCAAAAACCATAAGGATATAGGAAAACTTTCAGTGATGACCATTCCCTGAGCAACTTGATGAGCTAACGGTAGCAACTGTTTATTACAGAAATCCAACTCGTCGTCGAACCATTTATTCTGAGAAAAGAGAAAAATGGTTCAATGGTTATTCAGATCACCCTTACATTCTCAATTTCCTTCTTTTTTCTTTCCAATAAGCGAAGAAGGTCTTTGTCGTTACAAAACTCAAGAACCAATTGACAATATTTTGAGGTTGTCACACATCCTAGCATTCTTACGATATGATCGTGATATCCAATATGTTTCATCTGAAGCATTGATACACGTTGAATGAGAGGATAGACATTATTCAATTACTATGTTAATTTCTCTCAGAAAAGCTTCTTTGGATGATGGTTGTACCATCTTGACCACACAATCGATGTCTGTGTAGTTATCTCGTTCATTCGGCAGATACTTCTCAATCGCCGGAGATGATCCAATCAGTTTGGCTTCAAAGAGGAATATGGTAATGAGTTGGACTAGATGAAATCAAACCTATATTGACACTTCCTTGGGCTCCTCTACCGGCAAGTTCATTCTTTACAATCACCTTATCTTCTGACAATTCGTAATAATCAATTCTGAACAATAAAATGAAATATTTGGAGAAGCAGTGAATGAATCATACATAGGCTCTTCAGAGTTTTCGTTTGATTCTGAATTGGGAAGATTCGAGCGAAACTTATGAATTCGCTCCATCCAAATGTACTTGCGACGATAGAGAATCGTTACAACAATCAGAAGAAGCATTATCACAACTGTAGCTCCAACAACGATTATCATAATTGTTGGAATACTGCTTTCTGAATTGAAAAACTTGAGTCATTGAGATTAGATGTCAGATTTACTTTTCTTGTTCGGGCAGATCGAAACCAGTTCATTTTTGTTCGTACTGAAGTCTGGATCCGAATGAACGTGAGCTGGATTGAGAGTTTCATTCTTGTAAATCTCTGCCGCTAACTGAATCATGAAATATTTTCTTCAATGTCATCTTGTTTTTCTAGAAAAAAGAGAGAAAATCGCATACCGAATCGTAGCAGTAGATTTCAAAATCGAATCGACCAAGAGCTCTGATGAGCCCATCATCCGTATGATAGGCATCAATGAAATTCTATATAAACCAAAATATTCTTATTATAAGTTGTGATGAGTGATACCTGAGAAGCAAAATCTGTTAGGAGGGTTAGGCGTGGCTCTCCTATCTTCTGATCTTGGTTAATGGGGATACTAGTACCTCTTTTAACTAATGCGAGAGTAGTATTCTCATACACATCAATGGCTCTAGCTAAGAATCAACAGGTTAATCAATTTCATCCATACAACTCACATGCATCCAAAAGCACCTCATCGCTTCTCAGTGCTTCCAAGTGATTTCTTATATCATTGTAATTCTCCAACCAGAGCGAGTCAGAGTTATTACGGGCCAAAAAGCGAACCAGAATCTTTGCTTTATCGTTCTGAAATTTGAAAATCACTAACAATCAGATTCAGCACAAGGAGAACAACCGCTCTCGGCAACTTGTTTCACTAAAATGAAGAAAAAATAGAACACGTGAGATTGACGTGATTAATAAGAATACGTGGAAGTGAATGTTCTTCAAATACGAGTAAGCGATTACCAAGCATTGTTTGAGTGGTTCCAGAACGTAGTTGACGGCGTTGTCGAACTGCCCTGGAGTTGTACGATTTGAGAGAGCAAACAGGTAGATGAAATGGGAATACTCCACAAATTCATTGTTCATCTTAGTAATTTTATGATTATGGAACAGTTTTATAACATACCTCAGTAGTGGGTGTCAGTGTGGTTGATACTATGGTGCTAGGATAAGTCGAACTTGTTGGTGCGGGACAGTTGCTTAGCTCTCGTGAAAGGCATTCAGCAGTAGTTCGTGGACTACATGGCTTTATGCAATCCTTAGCAGATGAATAATGAAATCGAGATCGTTAATTGACTTACATCTAAATTCGGTAAACAGTTGAAATCTGGCACGACATAGAGATTATCCGTCAGATTATGATAATGTGTAGTCAGCAAGTCAGTTGTGATATCGGGGTTTCCGACAGCTATGATGGTGAATGTGATGCAACCAAAATCGACAACTTGGACAATGTCCTGAAGAGATGAAGATAGCATAACTTGAGATTGGTAAGTAATCATACCGCAGGTAAACCATCCTGATATTGAAATATCCGTTGAGTGAGAAGAACAACGTTGTTATACAAGCATTTAGTATCTTTAGAAGCAAAGACTTTAAGCTTCAAAATGAAGAGATGATGATAACAAGGATGAAACGAACGTACATCTCCTAACAAGGCGTAAGTGAAGTTTCCATCAGTAGGATCAACCTGGATAGGATTGATCGAATCATAAGTTCCTACATAATCATCGTATGCCATAAAAGCAATTTGAAAGCTACAAGCTTTCTCCTCACAACATATCGTTTGAACTCCATTCTGCATATGAAAGTAATATGAGAGTTAAAAGATAGAATATAGTAACCTCATTAAACATGGAATAAAAATAAGATCGATAACCTATGCCTCGATTCATACACGTATTGACCATACCCTTCAATCGCTTGTAAATATTTTAAACTTTAATTATTGTAAACCTTAATAAATAAAAGAACATTCCCGTAATTCTCTTCACTGGTTAACCTTTTGTCCAAATCGAGGATGACAGCTATGCTACAATCATGTTTTACCTGAAGTATACAGCTTCATTTGCTCTTAGTAAGCTTGTAATGAACTTACAAAGTTAGTGCCAGTAGATGCATTCATAAGGGGTGGAGTACCAAGATTCTTGAAAGCATCTTCTTCACAAACATCAGAATCATTCCATACGGGTGGATTATCAGTGCCATCGGAAGCTTCAAAGTTGTTTTGAACAGGAGATAAAGGGAAAAGCTGAACTCACCACAGAACTGTGAAGCTGTTAGTAGAGCACTTAACATCAATAGGAGGAAGAGTGAACGAAAATAGTTCATCTTTTGATAATCTGATTATGCATAAATCCTATTAACTTCAAGCCACTCTTGAACACAACTGAAAACAGATCGGAACGCATTCAACAAGCTAATGCTATGAATGAAACATACATGAGCGAATGAGGAGAGACAGGATGACCGAAGAGACACTTCGCTGGAGGATATCAAGAGACTTCGTCTCAACTATTCAACAACTTAAAAGGTATATCATAGATGGGCATCTCGAAATTCAAACGTAAATTAAGCAACAGATCGATAATTAATAGTAGCAGCTAACCCATCTGGTTTCGTCTATGCTCGAGAATTGATAAGAAGCAAATGAATGGATGGGGTGTGCAACTAGATGGCTCAATACCATTTTATTATTTTTATTTTTATATGTATACACTTACATATATCATATGATTGCCTTTTACAATACATTTCTCAACTTGTATCGTCTTTCAGCAGTAAGCGAATCACAGAAAACCTTTCGACTCATTGCCTTCTTCATCTACTCCTCCCTTTTTTTGATAAAAATTGTTTTGTACAAGGCGCATGTGTCTTTGATGCTACAGCTAGCTACGAATGGGTAAACTGAAGCTGAGTCTTTCATTTTCTTTTTTTTAGGACATTGGGGAGATAGTTGAAATCTTCTTGTAGATCATACAATCCACAGCAACAGCCTGCACTCCGTACATGAGTATGGGTTGGATGAATGAAAACTACATTTGAGAAATCAATGAAACATACAAGAAACTGTGGGAACAACCTAGTGAGTTGATAAGAATCGTAAAAGTTATATGACACGAGAATGATCTTGAGTATAAAAAAGATTATTATTTAAGATATATCTGTATACTGAATAGACAAAATGGAATATAACCATCAGCTTTATCTATTTCAACTTATTGATTAGAGGGTACATGGATATTGCCCATCAAAAAGTCATTACAGATAATGAGAGAAGATGATGAAGACGTGGACATTTCTGTACACACACGCACGCACACAGCATCTTTCTTTCATTTACTTTCTTTATACTCTTTTCCTCTCTTTGTGCATTCCTCTCTCCTACCTCCCCCCCCCATCTTTCCCTCTTCTCACTTCATCGCATAACTGTGTCTGGGCGCCAATGCAAGTCTTATAAGAGGAGTGTTAAACAGTTAGAAATATGTGCTCCAAAAGAAATAAACTTGCAAATTCGAATATATGGCTGAGATGAAAGAAGCCGAAACTCATCGAAGCATTAATCAGAGTGCACAAGCATAGGAGTGATTGATCTTTCGATTCCAAGAGCTATTGGACAGACGCAGTAAGGGGATGGTTCGAGAGCAAACGTAATGAAGCCATTCAAAATTGAAATAAACAGAGAAAGAAGAATAAAAAGAAGAAAATTTAGAAAAAACACAAAAGAGTCTATGGCGGGAGGTAAGAAAGCCTTGTTGAGTCAGAAGTGATCGACTGTTATCATTTCGTCTACCGCCGGCTATCTGAAGGCTATAAAAGTTGGGCGAGATTGTATGTATGATGGAGAATAATGAGAACACAAATTGTCAAATTACTAACAAATATATTCGAGAATTTATATATTATTTCTCAATAAAAACAAAATACATGAGGGATATGAATGGAAAAAAAAACTTTTTTGGGTGATGGGGGGTCGGATGATAGGGAGGGAGCAGGGGACTGCATCATCAAGGATAGGTGGGGGATGGGGGAAACACAATAGTACACAGGTAAAGGAATTAGTTCTTCTTCGCCAGACGACATTAGTTTTTAACAATTATTAAAAAGTAACCTCCCTTTATCTCACTCTCTCTCTCTCTTTCACTCTCTCTCACTTTTTCTAGAACTTTCGTTTGGACGGGTAAACGATCTTGCGGTCAATTTGATGATTCAGAATCCAAACTGAATTTTACGTCCATCGTATTGTCAGCCAAATGACGAGCAGCTTTATCTTCAGCCGCTGATTTGCAACACCTGGAATTTCGACAAAACAATAAAACTCAAGACTTTTCTTCCTTTTTCGTCTCTCTTTCCACACCCTCCATTTTCAAAATCAAAAATCATTGCTTACCACCATAAAACAGCAAATAACGCCACAACATTCAAAAGTAAGATGGAAATCATCAAGAACATGTAAGTGATTGCAACCAGATCCCATCCATGATTTCTCGGCTCATCTCGTTTGACTTTAGGCAGTAGAAGCTTCAACACAGTACAATAGAGCATCATTCAGGCAGCCATCTCTGCTTACCTCTTTGATTATCTTCTCTCCTTCAACATAGTTGGAACTTATCTGTTGTCTCATGCGAGTTGCTAACAGAATACGCATTTTTGCCAGAAAATCTTCATCGAAACGGATTTCATCCAACTGAAAGAATCCTAACATGAGAGAGTGAATAGGTGATGAGTTTGGAAGTGTAGAAAGCAACCGCTCGTTGCTCCGACAACATGAGAAATGAATTATGCTACAAGCATGAAGAACTCACGAGCTTTGGAATAACGAATTGACGACAGTCTGATGGAATGGCATTTCTAAAGATGGAATCGATATTGTTCGAATTATCCCTTATCTGTCTGGAAAGAACATCCAACGGACGAACAACCATCTCCTTAACAGGTTAACACATGAAGAGAGGAAGGTTCAGGCTAGAGACTTACAACTACTTTGCTTCCACTCGATCCACAATACTTATTGAAATCTCTTCGAATGCATTTCAAGTAGCATGATAGACTTCTGAAAAAATAATCAAATGAGTTACCGAGATTGATGATGCGAGATACTTGCAAGTTGTTCCTGCATGCTTAAGGATGTCTATGCCATTGGATCCTCTTATAATGGATAGTTGAACAGGTTTGGACATCATCAGATCAGTTAAGCTATCATTCAAACGACAAGTAGATTCACAATCTCCATCTAAGGGCAATCGGAATGAAAACAGAACCATAAAAGAACTAACCGAGTGACTCTCTCTTCTCTGTGACAAACACTTTGATACAAGGTAAGAAGGAACGGAACGCTTCATACTCATCATTACAGGCATATCTGATTCCTGATGTCAAGTCATCATATAATTCAGAATTCAACAGACATTTAGGTGAAGCAGTCACACATGATCTCGAAGTACGATAAGATCTTCAATTCAAATGAAAAACATGAACAAGTAAAGAGTGAAGAAGCTTACTTGCAGATTCTTTCAAACAATGGTGTGCTAAAGGGCTGTACAAAGACGTCATCCAATTCTTCCAGAAGGTTACTCGAACATCCAATGATACAACTCGGAAAACCAGCAGATGCAATGAGATTTGATAATGGTCCTACAACGCTAATTATAAATAAATATGAATAATTAAGATATTACCTTTGAAACTGTGTTTATATGATGAAGTAAGTATGAACAAAGAGAAAAAGATTAGTAACACACGCATTTTATTTTCAAAAAAGATAACTAAGATATCTGACCTTCTGCCATCATCCTAGTGTTTGACCCCTTAATTGATTAAACTACATTCCCATAGAGTACCTAAGTGATCAATGATCTCTCATTTCTTTTGTTTTTGTTTCTTACCTCTCTCTCTCTCTCTCTCTCTCTCTCTCTCTCTCTCTCTCTCTCTCTCTACTCTCTACCCTTCCTTCTTCTTTTTTTATCACTCTAACTATATATCTTTCTTACCATAACTTTCTATCTCTCTCTTCAAGTTTTCTCATTCTTCTTCATCACCTCTAACTCTCTCTCTCACTCTCTCCCCCTAACTCTCTTATTAATTTAAGCATTCAGCTTTGTTATCATTTTGTTCGACAAATCGTTTGTTTTCTTCTTCGAATGCAAATTGGAAAAGGCATCTAACAAACGATT